ATAAGCAGAAAAAGCCGGAAGTGGCGATGTGGCTCAAATGGCAGAGTGCTAGCCTTGAGCTGAAGAGCTGAGGGACAGAGCCCAGGCCCTGAGTTCAGGCCCCATGACCAGCACAAAAAAAAAAAAAAATCAAAAGCTTTTAGTCTTTTCCTTTAAAAATCATTGATGAGGTAGTTTGAACAGTCATACAGCTGAACCAAGTCTTATACACTTCTACTATGATGTGAGGCTAGAGAGACTTGCCTCAAGTGCAAACACAAGGGATGCGTAAATAAATATAAAGAATATAAAGTAAATAATCTAGGTCCAGGGTCTGGAATGTGGCTTGGTGGTAGAATGCTTGCCTAGCATGCATGAAGCCCTGGGTTTGATTCCTCAGTACCATATGAACAGAAAAAGCCAGAAGTGGCGCTGTGGCTCAAGTGGTAGAGTGTGAGCCTTGAACACACAGAGGCTCAGGGACAGCCCAAGCCCTGAGTTTAAGCCCCTATACTGGCAAAAACAAACAACAAAAAAGCATTTAGGGCTGGGTGCCAGTGGCTCATGCCTGTAATCCTAGCTACTCAGGAGATTGAGGTCTGAGGATCAAGGTTCAAAGCCAACCCAGGCAGGAAAGTCTATGAGACTCCTTTCTCCAATTAACCACCAGAAAACCGGAAGTGGCGCTGTGGCTCAAGTGGTAGAGAGCTCACTTTGAACTGAAGAGCTCAGGGACAATACCCAGGCCCAGAGTTCAAGCCCCACAACGGATCCCCTCCTCCCCCCCCCCAAAAAATTCCAAAGGCCAAATGTTTATCTACTCACAGTAAGGAAAGACCTGAGAAGTCAGAGGGAGCCAGGAGATACTTCACTATGTTAAACAGTGTGACGTTTTATACCCTTCAGATATATGCCCCTAGGAGATTTAGGGAGAATTACATGTGCCCTCTGACAAAGCCCAGACATTGGAGCCAGCTATGGTCTTTCAGATCACTCACCTGTGCGTATCAGATTGCCTGGATCACATAGCAGCTGCTCCTCTGACCCAGTAACTGCAGGACTTACATCACCTGCCCACGCCTCCAGCCTTCCATCAGCAACTTCTCCAGTGGGCTCTCGCTGACTCCCTGCCCCTGTGCTTACTGGTCATGTCCTGCCCCAGCTCGGTGCTTGCTGATTTATCTGTTTTCCTTTGAGTCTTTGCAATAACCTTTTGGATGAATATGCTAATGCTCACTCCTGCAAATGCCAAAGTGAAACGCAGAAAAAAATTATTGCTATTATTATTGAGGCGTGAGAGCTCGTGGGATGACAGCGTGAGGATCTGACTCGATGACTCAGTGACACTCAGCATTGATCCCACCCCACCGTGTGCATCCTCAGAAGGTAACTTACTGCCACACTCATCCCTGCCAGCAATGCCCTGTCTCCCTTTGGCAACTTTTCTGAGCCTGGGGAAGTGGATGTATGTATCTGATGATCTGTCTAGGGTCACTGAAGTATGACCTATCATCTGTTTTTTGTAAATAAAGTTTTATTGGAACACAGGCATGCTCGTTCATTTTGCCAATGACTGGTTCCACAGTCCAACGGCAAAAAAAAAAAAAAAAAAAGAAAAAAAGAGTAGTTGTTATAAAGACCATATGGTCTCCAAGTTGAAAATATTTACTATCTAGTTTTTTTACAGAAACAGTTTGCCAATCTCAGTGACAGATTTAGACCCAGTAACTCACAATGTGTAAAATAACATTTAAAAGACAATTACAGCTGAGTGTGGTGGACATGCCTGCAAGTCCCAGCAGAGGCAGAAGGACCACAAGCTTGAAACCACTTTGAACTATGAAGAGAGACCCTGTCTCAAGAAATAAAAATCCATATCTATATCCATATCTACTTACATGCAGATATAGAGTACTACAACACACACATATATACCCTATATACATTATAGATAACATATAATGTGTAACAATTATACATTATATATAGAATGTATTATGTGGGACTGGGAATGTGGCTTAGTGTTAGAGTGCTTGCCTAGCATACATGAAGCCACAGGTTCGATTCCTCAGTATCACATAAACAGAAAAAGCTGAAAGTGGTGCTTTGGCTCAAGAGGTAGAGTTCTATCCTTGAGCACATAGAGGCTCAGGGACAGAGGCCAGGCCCTGAGTTCAAGCCCAGGACTGGCAAAAAAAAAATGTATTATGTATTGTATGTGTGTATGTGTGTGTGTGTGTGTGTGTGTGTGTGTGTGTGTGTGTGTGTGTGTGTGTGTTTATGACCACTAGAGGAAGGCTGGGTGTACCTCACTGGTAGAGAACTTGCTTAGCATGTGCAAGCCTTGAGTTCAATTCCAAGCACCACATTTTCTAAAAAGTGATAAATAAATAAATGACTACTAAGCTGGGTATGATGGCATACTGCTAGAATCTCAGCACTTGGGAGACATAAAGAGGAGGACCTCCAGATTGAAGTCAGTTATATACTGAGACTTTGTCTCAAAAAAAGACTGCTAAAAAGATAAGTAAATCCATTGTGGATTAACAATAATGTTAACACTTTAATTAAAAAAGAAAATGGTAGCCGAGAGCTACAGGCTCATGCCTGTAATCCTAGCTACTCAGGAGGCTGAGATCTGAGGACCATGGTTCAAAGCCAGCCCAGGCAAGAAAGTTCATGAAACTCTTATCTCCAATAAACCACCAGAAACTGAAAGTAGTGCTGTAACTCAAGTGAGCTGAAGAGCTCAGGGACAGTGTCAGGCCCAGGGTTCAAGCCCCATGACCAACAAAAAAAAAAAAAGAAGAAGAAGAAAGAGAAAGAAAGAAAGAAAGAAAATGATCATGTATTGGTGGCTTACACCTGTAATCCTAGATATTCGGGAGGCTGCCTTTGCCTAGGCAGCAAAATCGGTGAGACTCATATCTCCAACAAACATCCAAAAAAGCCAGAAGTAGTAAGTCAAATAATAGACTGCTAGCCTTGAGCAAAAAAGCTTAGCGACAGCACCCAGGCCTTGAGTTCAAACCCCAGGACTAGCACGCACGTGCACGCACGTAGACACACACACACACACACACATAAAGAAAAGAAAAGAAAATGGAACGTGGCAGGACTGGAATTCATTGATCATGGTTCAGGCTGTCTGTCAGATAAAACAGCCATTCTCTAAGAAATCTGTTCAGAAGCTGAGGTGGGAAGAAAAAGAGGAGGGAGGGGGAAGGAGGAGGAATAACTAGGGAATGATGCTATAACACTTCTACTTAATGCATTGACTAGTCACACTTTTCCTGATGTGCTTTTCCCATTATTTATCATATTTTTAGTGCTTTTTATGTCAAGCACTGGTTTGGGGGCTCCACTGCATGAACTCATTTATTCTTCAAAACAACCCTTAGAGGTAGCCCACTGTCGTAATGATTCCCATTTTATAGAAGAAACAGGCTGGGAGAGATCCAGCAATCTGCTTCAAATCCATAGACAACACTTGATGGGGCTGGACTTGAAGCGAAGCAGTTTGACTCGGAGTATCTGCTGATGAAGCAGTTTGAAGGAGGCGAGGGGCTTCGCATTGTGAGCACAGCAGGTTGGGGCCAGTGGCCTGGGTCCTGTTGCTAGCTGTTGGCCAGACACTGAACTCAATTCCAAAAGGACCTTCAGCTTCGGCAATTGCAGAACAGCTGGTTTGTGGAAGGATGCTTGAGTCTAGAGCCCCAAGATTCGTGTCATTGCATGTGTGAGACACTGGGGCATGAGGAAAATAATGTCTTCCCCATGAACAGAAGGGGCTAGGCAACTAAGAACACACTTAGCTGATGACCTGCGTGTCCGTTCCGCATGGAGGATATATTGTCTGATGACAGATAGGGTGACTCATCAGACAGCTGTAACCCGATCAAACAGAAATATCCAATTTCCTCGCTCTGGTTCCAGGCAAGCAAATTATCTTAATTTGGTTTCCATGGCAGTTTCCTCAGACAAGAGGAGGAGGACAGATATGCATTTCCAGACTACATCAACAATGGGAAATTGGCATTCTTTTGTAGAAGCAAAATTAGATCACACGTATCACATATAGAAATGACTTTAAAATGATATAAAATAGCATCCAAGGGAAGGGCATAGAATCCTCTCTCTTTCTCTCTCTTTCTCTGTCTTTCTCTTCTGTCTCTGTCTCTCTCTCTCTGTCTCTGTGTCTGTCTGTCTCTCTCTCTCTCTCTCTCTCTCTCTCTATATATATATATATATATATATATCTCCTGGAGCTTGAACTCATGGTCCAGATGCTTTCCCTGAGCTTTTTCACTCAAGGCTAGCTCTCTACCACTTGAGCCACAGCTCCACTTCTGGCTTTTTGGTGTTTAGTTGGAGATAAGGAGTCTCATGGAAGTTCCCGCCCAGGCTGGCTTCGAATTTTGCTCCTCGGATCTCAAGTCTCCTGAGTAGCTGAGATTATAGGCGTGAGCCACCAGTGCCCGAGCCATCAGGAAACTCAGTGGCACAGTTTTTTCTCCTCATACACGGCCACACATGCAAGATTTGTGGCCAGTGGGACAACTGAAGAAGTCTCAGATGCTGAGGCAGCGAAGCAACCAAACAGACTGGAGAGCTGCTGTTCCTCCCATCCGGTGTGGCTGGCTCTGGCTGCTGGCTCCCAGGCTGCAGCCACCCAGCCTTCTATCCAGGCTGAATTGCTTGCTGCAGATGCAGAAAGCTTCCATGCTGCTCACCCAGACTCTCTGAAGCCATAGGCTTGCCCTGCCTTCTACTCTCACCTTCTCTTCTTTGGCCTGTTTAGATCTGGAGGTGGCAAGAGACCTCTGGACAGGCTGCCCCTCACCAGCACTGGCCTAACCCACCTGGCATCTCAGCCACTCCAGCTGCCAGTCTCGCATTACCAAAGGGGCGGGGGGAATGGGTCTCCATCGGCCATCGGGGTAGACAAAGGGAGACGGCAACAGTGTGGACACGTTAACAGTGTGGACACGTTGTGCCCAGGGCTTTCCCATTCACTGCAGGAGGAAGACACTCTTGCTGTCTGGCCAGGGCGTTCGACAAATTCAGGAGAGAGATGAACTGGCCCTGTTCTTGCATCTTGTTTTGCTGGATTTATTTTGCTGCTTCTAGACTGAGAGGTGAGAGGCTGGCATCATACACCCGGCGTGGCTCCCCGGGGGGATTGCTTCGGTGGGAGGTGGGGTGGGGCAGGAGAGACATAAGGGTTTGTGTATCTTCCTGACATGCCGTAGCAGTAACCTGTGTACACAGTCAAAACCTGCTCCCGCCGATGTGCGGCCATCTCCAATGTTTGACCTCAGCCCAGGGCTCTTTGTCACAAAATGCACACAACACCCTGCATGTTGACCCAGCCCTCTCTCCTTTGAGCAGCTGTGGAAACAGCAGATGGAAAATATGCTCAGAAGTTGTTTAATGACCTTTTTGAAGATTATTCCAATGCTCTTCGTCCAGTGGAAGATACAGATAAAGTTCTAAATGTCACGCTGCAGATCACTCTGTCTCAGATTAAGGACATGGTGAGTCACATAGCTTGGTGGCACTTTGGAAGGGGGGTGGTGCATTGGAATGAAAACAAGCGTGCCTCCTGAAAGGAATTTCTTTTTTCTTTTTTGTCATCGTTGGTCATGGGGTTTGAACTCTGGACCTGGGTGCTGTCCCTCAGCTCTTCAACTCAAGGCGAGCGCTCTACCACTTGAGTCACAGCACCACTTTTAGTTTCTGGTGATTTATTGGAGATAAGAGTTGTGTGGACATTCCTGCCTGGGCTGGCTTTGAACTACTCAGCCTCCTGAGTAGCTATAATTACAGGCGTGAGCCTCTAGCGTGCAGCTCTGAAGGGAATATCTTAAGGAAGGAACTTGTGGGGGACAAAGATCATCCTGTGCCCCAGCTGGTGGGAGGAGAGAAAGCCAGGAGATGGAGCTTTCCACAGAATGAATGAGTTAAATATGATCTGATGTTCACTAACATTACTATTACTTACCATGTGGTTATCAATACTAACAGATAGTTTTGGGTAAAGAAAAGTATTGCCCAGTGTTGGTGGCTTACTGCTGTCATCCTAGCTACTCAGGAGGCTGAGATCTGAGGATTGCAGTTCAAAGCCAACCTGGGCAGGAAAGTCGTGAGACTCTTTATCTCCAATTAACCACCAGAAAACTGGAAGTGGTGTTGTGGCTTAAAGTGGTAGAGTACTAGTCTAAAACAAAAAGACCTCAGGACAGTGTCCAGGCCCCAAGGTATGATTCCACTCAGAGGAATTGCCCCAAATGTAATCCATTGAGACAAAAAGCAGAGCTGTGCTTATGGAGGACTGAGGGAGGAGGAAGAAATGATGGGTGATTGCTTAGTAGTTATGGGGCTTCCTTTGGAGATGATGACAATATTCTTGAATTACATGGTATGCAATGATGGCATGATATCATGAGTGTATTAGAAGCTCCTGAATTAGATACTTTTAAAATAGTTAAGATGGTGATTTTTTTTTAAATCTCCATTTTAAAGAATGGTGACATTCAAGCTTATTTAGTGCCTGAACTCTGTTTAATTACACAGTTATCAGCCTCGAAGGACTTGTCCTCTGTGTATAGTAGGGATTTCCTGGCGGCCTCAGGCAAGTATATCATTAGTTGATTCATTTTCAGAGAAAATGGGGCAGTTGGTCCCTGCAAAGATCTGAACGCTGCAATATTTGCCTTCATTCTGAACACAGAATCAAGAAGGAACACGTGTGGCCTTGTTCGTCCATCCAGCTGCTAAAGCTAAACATTGTTCATTAAACACTAGAGGCTTGTTCTTGACTTTCCTGTCATTAAAAGCAGTGTCTTGAAAATGGAGGGCATGCATACAGCTCGAGTGTCGACAGGATAAAGTGACATCTGGATTCCTTGTGCAGGATGAAAGAAACCAAATTCTGACTGCCTACCTCTGGATCCGCCAGAACTGGTATGACGCGTACCTCACATGGAATCGAGACCAGTATGACGGGCTGGACTCGATCGGCGTACCCAGTGACCTTGTGTGGAGGCCGGACATCGTCTTGTACAACAAGTAAGTGTGGTAGAGCTGAAGAGTTCCTGGAAGGAAACGGTTCATTAAATGGAAGTCAGAGCATGCATAAAACATGCACAAGGTTAAGTATTAACCCAAAATGCCTAGTCCCTTCAACAAGGCTCATGAATTCTCAGGTAATAAAACAATAGCTCCTAAAAGCTTACCGATGGAAGGAGACCATGGAATTCAGCCCTCAGCTTTCAGCAGAAGGATTGGAAACTGTTTTAGTTTCCTAGGGCTGCCCGAGCAAGTGGCACAAATTAAGTGACTTTCAACAGAAAGGTGGCATCTCAGACTCCTGGAGGCTGGAAGAGGAGCTCAGCGTGTTACAGTTGCTTCCTTCTGAGGGCCGCCAGGGGAGCATGTTCCACACCTGTCCCTAGCATGAAGTGGCATGTGCCATCATCGGCATTCCTTGAAATGAGGAAGCATTGCTGTCTTTACCTTCATCTTCACATGGTTCTCCTCTGTGCTTCCTGTGCCCAACTCTCTCTCTCTCTCTCTCTCTTCATTTATTCATTTAGTTATTTTGTGCTGGTACTGGAGTACTGAGGCTTGAACTCAGGGCCTGGATTTTTCTTTCTTGGCTTTTGCTGATGCTCTACCACTTGAGCCACACCTCCACTTCTGGCTTTTTTTTTTGCTAGTTTTAGAAATAAGAATGGCATGGACTTTCCTGCCCAGACTACCTTCAAGCCATGATCCTCAGATCTCAGCCTCCTGAGGAGCTAGGATTAGAGGTGTGAGCCACAGTCACCCAGCTCAATAATTTCAATAAAAGTCATGTGATATTGGCTTAAGTGCCCATCCTGCCCCACCAGGACTTCAACTAATGACACCTACATTAACTATTCTTCTACAGAGGCATGTTCTGAGATGCTAGTAGAATAGAACTTCAAGACAGGAATTTTCTGGGGTTGTTATTTAGCCTTACCATCCAAGATTATGAATCAATAACGATGCTGCTGCTGAAATTAAGTAAGAATGGACCATCTAGAAGCTAGCCCGTGGGGACTCTGTGGAGGGTAAACCAAATCATAGGACAGTTGGCTCTTCCCTGCTCTTGGAGCCAGGGCCATTGTGTGCATCTGTAGGGAAGGTATGTGCTTCTTTTTTTTTCTTTTCTTTTTCTTTTTTTGTTGGTCGTGGGGCTTGAACTCTGGGCCTGAGCGCTGTCCCTCAGCTCTTCAGCTCAAGGCTAGCACTCTACCACTTGAGCCACAGCACCACTTCCAGTTTTCTAGTGGTTTATTGGAGATAAGAGTCTCACGGACTTTCCTACCTGAGCCAGCTTCAAACCTTGATCTTCATATCTCAGCCTCCTAGGATTACAGGCGTGAGCCACCGGTGCCCGGCAGTGTATGCTTCTTAAACTGTCAAGTGCACAAGTAGGGTCTGGGGATTTTGTCAAAATAATTCTGGGTAGGACTGGGATTGTGGCTTAGTGGTAGAGTGCTTGTCTAGCATGCATGAAGCCCTGGGTTTAATTCTTCAGTGTCACATAAACAGAAAGAGCCAGAAGTGGGGCTGTGGCTCAAGTGGAAGAATGCTAACCTTGAACAAAAGCAGCTCAGGGACAGTGCCCAGCCTTGAGTTCAAGCCCTAGGACTGGCAAACAAAAACAAAAACAAACACCTCTGGGGTCTAGGGTGAGCCTGGTAGTGTTGGTGTTCAGGGACCTCAGGGTACACTTTGAGAAGCCAGACCTTTCTGTCACTATTCAAGCTCTTTCTCCATCTATTGTTAAGGGAACTTCCCTCTTGTTATTTTATGTATGTATGTATGTTTGTATGTATGTGTGTATGTATGTGTGTGTGTGTGTGTGTGTGTGTGTGTGTGTGTGTGTGTGTGTATTTAGGAACCCAAGTGTCTGTGAATTGAGACAGGTTCTTCTGTGATTTTGAATAATGTGAATGAGGGAAATTTCATGAAGATCCTTAGGTGGAGCCACCTAGTGGTGGCAGCCTTGATTTATTCCTTTACTTCACTCACCCAACGCTCATGGCCTCTTGAATCACTGCCCTAAACCTGCTGTCCTTTCTCTACCCTTGCTGGCCAGAGACATGTTCCCCATCCCTGTCACACAAGACAGCACTGAGGAGCTAATGCTCTAGCACTCTGGTTCACCCTTCCTCTCTGAGCACTCTCTGTGTGTCTTTGTGTGTGTCTCTGTGTCTCTGTATCTCTGTCTCTGTCTCTGTCTCTCTCTCTCAGAATGAGCTACATGTTCCACTACCACTCTCATCCACAGGATGCATAGATTATCTCTTATAGCCAAGGCAAGAACCAGCTCACTCTAAAATGCTTCTGCGTGGCCTTGCCCTAGCCCCGCATCGTAGCGAAGCAAGCTGTGTATTCATAAAAGCATTCAACACAGCTCGTCTTCCTGGCAGAGCCACTGGAGAAAGACTAATGACAAAAGAAAAATCGAAGTTCTGTTCCCAAAAGTGTTATACACAGGTGCAGACAAAGCCTAAGAGAATATATCTAGATTATGCAATTTCCAACAAGATTATGAGTGAATTACTTTTTCCATCTGTATTTCTCAAATGTTTATAATGACAACCATAATTTTATTACAATGAAGCAACTTTATATTCTGGTGCTTACGTGAACAAAATCAGGTGACTAGATGTTAGCCTTGACAGGGTTTATTTATTTATTTTTTTGTCTGCATGTCAAATCACTGGTCCAAGAGAGTAGTACTTCAGTGGGCAGAGGCAGCATGGTATAGGAACTTTGTGTGTGTGTGTGTGTGTGTGTGTGTGTGTGTGTGTGTGTGTGTGTGTGTGTGCGCGCGCGCGCTAGCTCTAGGGCTTGAACTCAGGGCCTGGGTGCTGTCCTTGAGCTCTTTTGTTCAAGGCTAGCTCTCTACCACTTGAACCACAGTGCCATTCCAGGCTGTTTCTGAATAGTTTATTGGAGATAAGTTTCACCAACTTTCCTGCTCATGCTGACTTCAAAATGCTATCCTCGGGCTGGGAATATGGCTTAGTGGTAGAGTGCTTGCCTAGCACGCATGAAGCCCTGAGTTTGATTCCTCAGTACCACATACACAGAAAAAGTCAGAAGTGGAGCTGTGGCACAAGTGGTAAAGTGCTAGCCTTGAGCAAAAGAAGCTCAAGGACAGTGCTCAGGCCCTGAGTTCAAGCTCCAGGACTGGCAAAAAAACAACCCAAAACCTGGGATCCTCAGATCTCAGCTGCCTGAGGAGCTAGGCTGAAAGGCGTGAGCCATCAGCGCCTGGCTGGTGCGAGGATTTTGAAGGAATACAAGGTGCCCTGATTACTCACGGGGGGGGGGGGGGGGGGGGGGGGGGGGGGGGAATGGACACATTTCTCAGTGACAGGACAAGAGGTGGTTCAGTGCCAAAGCTGCTAAAGGTGCGAGCCATAAGCTGTCTGGCGTAAGGAAGTTGCTAAGTTCTCCTAGTGACTGTCATTGTCCCCCTCCCGCCTGCAGAGCTGATGACGAGTCTTCAGAGCCAGTGAACACGAATGTGGTCTTGCGGTACGATGGGCTCATCACCTGGGACTCACCAGCCATCACCAAGAGCTCCTGTGTGGTAGACGTCACCTACTTCCCCTTCGATAACCAGCAGTGCAACCTGACCTTCGGCTCTTGGACCTACAATGGCAATCAGGTGGATATATTCAATGCCCTGGACAGCGGCGATCTCTCCGACTTCATCGAAGACGTGGAATGGGAGGTCCATGGCATGCCGGCCGTGAAGAACGTGATGATCTACGGCTGCTGCTCTGAGCCTTACCCGGACTTAACCTTCACTCTCCTTCTGAAGCGGAGGTCCTCATTCTACATCGTCAATCTGCTCATCCCGTGTGTCCTCATCTCTTTCCTTGCTCCCCTGAGTTTTTATCTCCCAGCAGCCTCTGGGGAGAAAGTCTCCCTGGGAGTGACCATCCTATTGGCCATGACTGTATTTCAACTCATGGTGGCAGAGATCATGCCGGCTTCTGAAAATGTTCCTCTGATCGGTGAGTTCAAGTGTCTTATTCCTTGAGCTAGCTTTGTAGAGAAAAATGATGTGTGTGTGTGGGGGCAACTGAGCCAACTTAAACTTCAATACAGATGCTCACCTAAATATCTGCAGTTGGAATCTTTGAATATAGATATGGTTGTTGGGATGAAATTGGCCTTATGGAGTCTTGGGTCTACATGAAAGAACTGAGAGTCACAGCTTAGAGTCACAGCTTAGGGGTGGTCCCTGGAGCGGCCGCCTGCGCCTCAGCTGGGAAGTCTTAGATACGCAAATCCTCAGGCCCTCCTCTAGGCCTCTGGGAGGGTGACCTGGTGATCTGTTTAAACAAGCCTTCTGGGTAGCTCTGATGCACTTTGTGTGTAATTCTGAAAACCTCGGACTTAGAAGTCTCTGGATTTGAAGTCAGAGGAGCCTGCCTTGCTGTGCTGACTTCACTGCTTGCTCTTTGGTAAATCTGAGGCACATTGCTTAATCTCTTCGTCTGTGCTTCATCCTGTGCAAAACTGCTATAATTGCTACCTCTGGAGCTATTGCATAGTGCACAACCTGGCGCAACCATTGGTCCTGAGTCAACGGTGGCCTGCCTTGTCTTTTCACATTGTAAGGGCTTTCCCCTAGGGAAGAATGGCAACTAGAACAGAGAGATGAGCCAGCATATATCTATATCTATCTATACATATATACTGGTCGTGGGCCAGAACTCTGGGCCTGGGCGCTGTCCCTCAGCTCTTCAGCTCAAGGCTAGCTCTAGTCCTGAAGCCACAGTGCCACTTCTGGCTTTTTCCTGCTTATGTGGTGCTTGAGGACTCGAACCCAGGGCCTCATGAATGTGAGGCAAGCACTCTACCACTGGGCCACCTTCCCAGCCCTGAAGTTGAAATTCTTTTATTCTTGGACTCCTTTGTCATATTTTGTTTGGTTTGGTTTGGTTTTGGTCGGTCATGGGGCTTGAACTCTAGGCCTGGGCATTGTCCCTGAGCTCTTCGGCTCAAGGCTAGCACTCTACCACTTGAGCCACAGCACCACTTTTGGCTTTTTCTGTTTATGTGGTGCTGAAGAATCGAACCCAGGGCTTCATGCATGCAAGGCAAGCACTCTACCGCTGAGCCACCTTCCCAGCCAGCCCTTCTTTGTCATACTATAAGCTAAAGAGACTGTAAGATTCTGTCAGGAAATATTTCTAAAGTGTCTCAAGTATGTCTATAAGCAGAATGCCTTAACATTTCTTTTCACTTTTACAATCAGTGTTAAATTGATTTTTTGTAAAATGAATTTATCTTTTCTCTATTTCTGGAACTTGTAGAAAATAGGAATTCTGTCTCTTGAAAATTTGGTAAAACTCACTTATTATTTCTTTTGAGCCTAGAGCCTTTTTATGTGGGGAGAAGAAGTATTTTATTGGCTCCCATTTTTAGTGTTCTGTCTTCTTACATTAATTTTGAAATCTTTGATTTTCTAGAAATGTTATCTAGATTATTAAATATATTAGCATAAAATATTTCTATTACTTTATCTTTTTAATGTATTCTTTTGCATTCTTTATTTTTCTCCTGTGAATAGCCTTACCAGAACCAAGTATTTATCAATTTTATTGCCATCTCTTCTCTTTCCCATTTTCCTTCTCCTTCTCCTTTCTTCTTTTTGCTGTGTTGTCCAGGCTGTCTTCAAAGTCATGGACTCAAGCGATCTTCCTACCTTAATCTCACTAGTAGCTGATTCTAAGCCCATGTGGACAACTTTATTACTCTTCTCAAAAGTTTGTCTATTTTTTTCATCTTCTCAGTTTCTCGTTCTGTATTTCATAAATCTGTGCCTTTGTTTAATTCATCTACTTCCCTTTTTATTATTTTATTTTATTTTATTTTGTCGGTCGTGGGGCTTGAACTCTGGGCCTGGGCGCTGTCCCTCAGCTCTTCAGCTCAAGGTGAGTGCTCTACCACTTGAGCTACAGCGCCACTTCCGGTTTCCTGGTGGTCTTATTGGAGATAGGAGTCTCACGGTCTCTCCTGCCCGGGCTGGCTTTGAACCGCGATCCTCAGATCTCAGCCTCCTGAGTAGCTAGGATTACAGGCGTGAGCCACCAGCGCATCTACTTCCCTTTTTAAAAAAAATAATCATTTGTGGGCTGGAAAGGTGGCTCAATGGTAGAGCACTTGCCTTGCATGCCTGAGGCCCTGGGTTCAATTCCTCAGCACCACATAAGCAGAAAAAAAAAAAAAAGCCGGAAGTGGCGCTGTGGCTTAAGTTGTAGAGTAATAGCCTTGAACTGAAGAGCTGAGTGACAGCACCCAGGCTCACGACCAGACCCCTCCCCCCCCATAGTGCCTCCTTCCTCACCCGATAGTAATTGTCTTCCATATTAACAAGGTCAGAAGACAGTTCTAAAACATGGCCAAACTTATTAACTGTTGTAAGAGAAGAAACTTTGTTCTCCATTATCTGGTAAACATTTGCTAAAAACATTTAACATGGAGCCAAGGTTTGTGCTGAGAACTTTACATGTTTTACATGTGTTAAGCTCCACATATTTTGCTGAGCTAGACGCAACCATCATACTCATTTTACAGAACAGGGAACTGCAGCGCGGTGAGACTGTGTCTTACTCTAGGTTACATGCCACAGGGGTGGCCAAAATCTAACCCGGAAAGTCGAATTCAAAGTCTATCCTAGAAACTGAGCATTAGCACCTCACACCTTCTGTCCTAGCTGCTCAGAAGGCTGAGATCTGAGGATCCCAGTTCAAAGCCAGCCTAGGCAGAAAATTCCATATCTCTAAGTACCAAAGAAGCTGGAAGTGGAGCTGTAACTCGGTGACAACAGTGCCCAGGCCCTGAGTTCAAGGCTACCCTAGAGACCACAGAATAGACCCCTTCCGTAGGAAAGATGCAGACTATGTCTGCGTTACAACTAACAGCTGAACTTCCTTTCATTCCAGGCAAATACTACATAGCCACCATGGCACTGATCACAGCCTCCACCGCCCTCACCATCATGGTGATGAACATCCACTTCTGCGGGGCTGAGGCCCGGCCCGTGCCGCACTGGGCCCGCGTGGTCATCTTGAAGCACATGGCTAGGATCTTGTTCGTGTACGATGTGGGTGAGAATTGCCTCAGACCGCGCCACCCCCAGGAGCCTGACCACCTCACCAAGGTCTATAGCAAACTCCCAGAGTCTAACCTCAAGACAGCCAGGAACAAAGATCTTTCCAGAAAGAAAGAAGTGACCAGACTCTTAAAGAATGACCTCAGGTGCCAGGGTGAGACCCTGCAGGACAGAGATAGCTTCTGTCCGAGGTATGAGGGGTTGACCAGAAACATCGAGTACATCGTCAAGTGCCTCAAAGACCACAAGGCCACCAACTCCAGAGGCAGCGAATGGAAGAAGGTGGCAAAAGTTATAGACCGCTTCTTCATGTGGATTTTTTTCATTATGGTGTTCGTGATGACTATTTTGATCATAGCAAGAGCCGATTAGTAATTAGCATGTGATATTGGGGGAAAACTCAGTAAAATGTCTTTGGTCCCCTCCAATGTTGTTTCCAGCCAGATTGTTTTACATACAAAACTTAGAAAGTTCTATTGGGGCTGGGAAGGTGGCTCAGTGGTAGGTACTTGCCTTGCATGCATAAGGCCCTGGGTTCGATTCCTCAGCACCACATAAGCAGAAAAAAGCCAGAAGTGGTTCTATGGCTCAAGTGGTAGAGCGCTAGCCTTGAGCTGAAGAGCTGAGGGACAGCGCCCAGGCCCAGAGTTCAGGCCCCATGACCAACAAAAAAGAAAAAAAGAAAAAGAAAGAAAGAAAAGAAAAGAGAAAGTTCTATTGTCTGTGCTTTTTATTTTCCCCTTGAAATAAATATTTTTTGTGGGGGAGGAGGGGTCCGGCATGGGGCCTGAACTCTGGGCCTGGGCACTGTCCCTCAGCTCTTCAGCTCAGGGCTAGTGCTCTACCACTTGAGCCACAGCTCCACTTCCAGCTTTTTTCTTTTTTGCTAATGTGGTACTGAGGAATCGAACCCAGGGCCTCATGCATGCAAAGCAAGTGCTCAACCACTGAGCCACCTTCCCAGCCCTGAAATCAATATTTTTTATCTTTCTGGCAGCACTGGAGTTTGAACTCAGGACCTTGTGCATTTTCCTTCAGTCTGTATTAATGCCGGCTTTTATTTTGTGTTTAGGGATGCTGTGGTTTGAATTCAAGGCCCCATGTTTGATAGGAAAGCATTCTAACACTTGGGCCATGCTACCAGTCACAAAACATGTTTTTCTTTTAGGTATGTGAATAGCAGTACCAAAGCTTGAACTCAGGGTCTGGGTGCTGTTCCTGGCTTCTTTGCTTAAAGTTAGTGTTTTACCACTTGAGCCACAGCTCCACTTTTGGTTTTTTTGGTAGTTAATTAGAGATTAGTCTCTCACAGCCTTCCTGTCTAGGCTGGCTTTGGACTTCGATCTTCAAGAATCTCAGTCTCCTGAGTAGCTAGAATTATAGGCGTGAATTACTAGCACCTGGTTAAACATTATGCTAGCACAGAACTATCCAATTGTGTGTATAACTTTTCCATAGTTCAGATTTCTTACATCTCAAGATAGATTTGTCTAGAGCTAGACTGAGCAGGTCTTGCTGAGTCATGCAAAAATTTTTAACTTCAATCAGAGAAATCTCTGAGACACACAGGTTTTTAAGCAAGGGAGTGGTAGAGTCAGATTTGTGTTTCAAAAGTAAAACTATAAGCTGGGCACCAGTGGCTCATGCCTGTAATCCTAGCTACTCAGGAGGCTGAGATCTGAGGATCTTGGTTCAAAGCCAGCCCGGGCAGGAATGTCCATGAGACTCTTACCTCCAATTTACCACCAGAAAACTGGAAGTGGCTCTGTGGCTCAACTGGTAGAGTGCTAGCCTTGAGCTGAAGAGCTGAGGGACAGCGCCCAGGCCCAGAGTTCAGGCCCCACGACTGACTATAAACAAACAAACAAACAAATAAATAAAAATAGAAAATAAGACTATAGGTAGCAATTAATTTATTGTTGAAAAAAGGAAGCAGGGATCTGTTGTAATGTGATGATGAAGGCCTGACACCCAAGACAGAAGGAAGAAGAAAATGGAAATGACTGTTGGTCACAAAGCAAGCATGACCTTGAATTGGCAGGACTTGGTGCTTAGCTTGCTGTGACCAGCTGAGGGAGTGGTGTTCCAGAGAGATGTAGGGGTGAGAAGGAATTAGCATTCTTAGAAGGGAGGAAACTCAAGGGCAGGAAAAGCTTATTATTTTACAACTGGCAAAAGAGAAAAGATGCCTGCAAGGCAGAGCCACAGTCAAGTCAGGGACCAAGAGAGATGCAAGAGTCAAACCTGGGCTGGGCACGGTGGCACATAGCTTATAATCCCAGCTATACCAGAGGCAGAAAGGGAGGATCAAGCTCCAAGTTTAGCCTGGGCAAGATTAGCATGACCCTATCTGAAAAATCAGCTAAAGCAAAAGAGGCTGGAGGTGTGGCTCAAGATGTTGAGTGCTTGCCTAATGAAGCCCTGAATTCAAACTCCAGTCTTGAGAAAGAGGGAGAGGGAGAGAGAGAGTGAGTAAGGAGGAGGAAGAGGAAGCAGGAAGAAGAAAAAGAAAGGAAGAAAGAAAGAAAGAGAGAAAGAAAGAAAGAAAGAGAAAAAAAGGAAGGAGGGAAGGAAGAGGAAGGAAGAAGAAGGAAGGAAGGATGGGAGGAAGGGAGGAAGGAAGGGGAGGAGGAAGAGGAAGAGGAGGAGGAGGAGGAATGAGAAGAGAGGAGCTGGGGCCAGTGGCTCACACCAGTAACCCTAGATACTCAAGAGGCTGAGATCTGAGGATCACAATTCAAAGCCAGGCCTGGCAGGAAAGTCCATTAGACTTTTATCTCCAATAAACCACTCAGAAAACAGGAAGTGGTGCTGTAGCTGGAGCTGAAGAGCTGAGGGACAGCGCCCAGGCCCAGAGTTCACGCCCCATGACCAACAAAAAAATAAAAAAGAAAGAAAAAAGAAAAAAGAGGAGGAGGAGGAGGAAGAGGAAGGAAGGGAGAGAGGAAAGGTCAATCCTAGCAAGGTAAGCAGGTCCTGGTTATTCAGAGCCTGGTAAATTTGGAAGAGCTACAAATCACATTGCTTATTAGTGTCCTGAGATATTCATGCATTTCTTGAGGTCCTGACCTTTGCCCTTTCTGGGTGTCTCTTGTCTACTTTTCCATCAGCTAAGGGCTTAGCTTTGCCAACATAGCCACAGGCAACCCTGGCAAATGGACAGGCAAACTGGAAACACAGGTTGTGGCTGTGTGAAGCAATGGCTGTGGGTCACTTACAGCCTCTAGGCCTAGCAAAGAACCTCCATCTTCCTCCTCTCAGGTTACACCTTTTGAAATATGACCTAGCTGTTAAGACTTCATAAGCTTCTCCAACCCTACAAAATAAAAGCCCTCGGCCTTTGTGTTCCCATCTCTGAGCTCTTCTCAGCCAAGGCTCCTTAGGATACCATCCGGGGTTCTTGCAGGACAGGATAGACCAATCCCAGCAAGGTTGGGAAGGAAGCCATAGACAGGCTTGACAAAGCAGAACTCTGACCACTCAGAGACCTGAGCGGCAGTGGGAGGGCATAGTGACCTGACGCCAGGACAAGGGACAATGAGCTCTAACTGAACGCAGGCCACTTACCCAGTAGGTAAGGACATGGGGGAATATGCCCCCTCTTTCCCCCAGACTCCTCCCTGGGCTTACTGAATACCAAACACAGCAGTCTAGGGAAAGTGTGCCAAATGGCTGATCACTTCCTCCTCCTCTGTTATTACAATGTGTGTGTGTGTGTGTGTGTGTGTAATCCCAGCCTTTGACCATGACCACTGAGCCACAGGCTCCAGTCTTTTGTTTTTTGGTAAGGGTTGGTGTCTGGGTGCTGTACCCCCAGCTTTCCTCACTCATGGCCGTTATTCCCCCGCCCCTCCTGACATTTCTCCAAATCATCTGTCTATCCTGGATCAGTAGATCAAGTTTCAAATCCTACAGTCTTCTACTCAGACATTCATTAAATGCCTCACAGGGATTCAAATTCACTATGGCCCAAACCAAGCTCACGATGGACACAGCCACCTCAAGCAGTTTTGTTAAGTGATTCACCATCAACTCCATTATCCAGGCTAGGAATCAGGCACTTAAATCATTCTCAATCCTTATCCAATAACCCTGCCCTTTTACAATTAAATGTTCTTTTACTGTTAAATATTTTTCAAATCAAGTCTTCTTCCTGGTCCCGACAAGGGGCTCATTTCTGGTCTTTGCTGTCTTTGCTGTTGTAATAGTATTCTAAGTGAGCTACCTATTTGTAGTTTCTGGCCCCTGGATTCTGTCTTCCTTCTGTACCAATGCCAATTCTTGTAATTCTTCCTCTTAAAAATTTTGACAAACTAGAGCTGGGAAAGTGGCTCAGTGATAGAGTGCTTGCCTTGCATGCATGAGGCCCTGGGTTCGATTCTGCAGCACCACATAAGCAAAAAGAAGCCGGAAGTGGCGTTGTGGCTCAAGTGGTAGAGCGCTAGCCTTGAGCTGAAGAGCTGAGAGACAGCGCCCAGGCCCAGAGTTCAGGCCCCATGACCAGATCCCCCCCCCAAAAAAAAAAAATTGACAAACTAGATGCCTACAGGATAAAACCCAACTTCCTTAATATAGATTAGAAGTGTGTGTGTGTGTGTGTGTGTGTGTGTGTGTGTGTGTGTGTGTGTATTCTTTTCCAATAGGAAGAAATGTCCTTGTGCTCACCCTAGTAGTGTCAACTGTTTTCTTGGCTGGAAAAGTAACTACCTTCACAGACTGGGCTCCTCTCCTGGGGGTCTGAGCGCCCTGGAGCAATCAGGGTCTCTATCATGGAAGGGATCTAACCATAGATCCTGGATGTTTGATGGTTAGAGATAGAGCTGGCTTGCCGGGACTCAGACTGGATGAGCTAGGCACTTCCTTCATCTGAGACCTTGAATCCACGTTACGTGTGGACAAACCAACACCAAGAGCCAAAGAAAACACATGAGAAGATTGTGAAGGTTCTTGCTTGAGAAGACAGTGAAGATCATGGTAAGCAGGTCAAATTGGAATGGGGCAAAGAATCAACCAAAAAAAAATAAATATTCAGTGTAGGGCTGGGGAGGTGGCTCAGCGGTAGAGCGCTTGCCTTGCATGCATGAGGCCCTGGGTTCGATTCCTCAGCACCACATAAACAGAAAAAGCCAGAAGTGGCGCTGTGGCTCCAGTGGTAGAGCGCTAGCCTTGAGCTGAAGAGCTGAGGGACAGCACCCAGGCTCAGAGTTCAGGCCCCATGACCGGCAAAAAAAAAAAAAAAAAATTCAGTGTAATGAACAGATAAGTTAAAAATTAATGTCAGCTGACGTGGAAAGGTAATATAGAAAAATGGGAGTCATTTAGTTTGAGGAAAATAAAAAGACAAATCCCACAATCAAATCAAATCAGGACTTTGAGTAACATAAATGCTAAAATTAACTTGAGATTGGCTAAAGACTTACCCGTAAAAACAAAA